TATAGTAGGCCACAAAATTACTAATCTCCTCACCACGGTCCCTTGAATCATACTTCCTTCTAGGTGAGCCCGATTCCTTACTTTATGTTGCAATGTACCCATGTGTCTTTCAAAAGGATCTCATCACCTCATGAACACTAGACCGCACAACTTAATCTCACGCACCAAATGAAGAATCAGATGCACCATTATGTCAAAAAATGAGGGTGGGAAGTACATCTCAAATTTGCACAAAGTCACAACCACATCCGCCTACAAAGAATCAAGTGTACAAGTATCAAGCACTGTGCTGCATATTGTATTGAAAAACGAAGAAAGGCTTGTAATATCTTCCCTCACGTGCTTCGCTAAAATACCACGTATTGCAATTGGTAGGAATACTTGCATCATAACGTGACAATCATGGGATTTCATACTTGTCAGCTTTAATTCTCTATATATGGATACAAATCTTTTCATGTTAGATGCGTACCCTGATGGAACCTTAATACCGTACAGACATGCACAAAACATCCGTTTTTCTACCCTTGACAATGTGTAGCAAGCCTAAGATAAATAAGCCTTTTCATCCTTGGCTTTTCCCTCATATTTCTTCTTCGACGGATCCGTGGCCTTTCCCTTTTCCTTTCCCTTTCCCTTGCTCTTCCCCTTTCCTTTTTTCAAACTCATTTCATTTTCCTTTTCTTGTTCCTTTCCCTTTCGAACCTTTTCCTGAGCCCACAATTCTGGACGAACCCCCATCTTTTCCAAATCTAACCATGCACCCTTTCCATCCTTTGTTTTGCCTTGAATATTCATCAGCGTTCCCACAAGAGCATCACACACATTATTCTCTATATGCATTACATTAAGACAGTGCCTAACATTATATTCTTTCTAGTACGGAAGCTTCCAAAAGATTGATTCTTTTTTAAAGAGAGCAATTGAGTCCGCAACTTTTTCTGTTTTCCCAAATACTGTTCGAATACCCTTAAACCAAGCATAAACCTCCTCACCAGTCAATGGCCTAGGCGCAGTCCCCTCTTCCGCTGTCACATCGAATGCCTTTTTCTGCCTACGGTACGGGTGATCGCACTTGAGCAACCTTCAGGTCCGCACGTACACCTCTTTATGAGAATGATCAAGGTGCATGCTTGGCGTGTCATCAATACAAATGGGGCATGATTTTTTTTCCTTTGTTCTTGTACCCAGACAAGTTGCCATATGCAGGAAAATCATTGACAGACCACATAAGGGCTACATGCAATGTGAACATCCCATTCTTATGAGCATCAAAAACGGAAACCCCTTCGTCCCACATCTTTCTCAAATCGTCAACAAGTGGCGCAAGATAAACATCTATGTCGTTTCTAGGTTGCCTTGGCCCCATTATTAGTAGTGAAAGCATTACATACTTCTCATGCACAACCAAGGAGGCAAATTGTAAATCACTAAAAGTACCGGCCATGTGCTGTGTTGGGTAATAAGAGTGCCAAATGGATTCATCCCGTCCGTGCACAACTCTAGCCTTAAATTTCTGACTTTATCGCCAAATTTCCCAAACTTCATATCAATCTTCTTCCATTGCGGGGAGTCGGCTGGATGCTTCATCATTCTGTTTTTCTTTCTTCCCTCTGCATGCCACCTTATGTTTTTAGCGTCTTTAGGTGTTGAGAATAGACGTTTAAACCTTGGAATAATGGGAAGATACCACAACACCTTAGCAGGAGGTCCCTTCGTACCAGCATTGCAATTCATGTGCTTGTAGCGCGACTTCTTGCATCGTGGACACTCCTCCAATTGTTCATATTCATTTCAATAAAGAATACAATCATTAGGACATGCATGTATCTTCTTATACTCCAAACCAAATGGACACATGAGCTTCTTTGCATAATATTAAGACTTAGGAATTTCATTTCCGTTAGGCAACATCTCACTTAACGCGGTCAACAAAGAAGTAAAACTATTGTCCGTCCATCCATGCTTCGACTTAATGTTAAAAAGTGTTAGCACGGCTGATAGTTTGGAGTATTTTTTGCACCCAGGATACAAAGGCTTTTTAGAAGCCTCTGATAATGACTCAAACACGTCCCCTTCAACACCACGCATCATCTCATCCACCCCTTCATCCTCGACCTCATCCACCTGATCATCCTCAAATCCATCCTCAGCACCATGATCAACAATATGTTCATCATTATTCTTGTACTACTCGTCCACACAAATGTCATTGCTTCTATCATCATGCACATCATTCCCAATAACATCACCATTATCAATAATATATTCATCATTCCTGTATTCCTCGTCCACACGAATCTCATTGCTTCTATCATGCACATCATTCCCATCAACATCCCCACTGTACTCTTTGCATAATAGTAAGACTTAGGAATTTCATTCCCGTTAGGCAACATCTCACTTAACGCGATCAACAAAGAAGTAAAACTATTGTCCGTCCACCCATGCTTCAACTTAATGTTAAAAAGTGTTAGCACGGCTGATAGTTTGGAGTATTTTTTGCACCCAGGATACAAAGGCTTTTAAGAAGCCTCTGATAATGACTCAAACACGTCCCCTTCAACACCACGCATCATCTCATCCACCCCTTCATCCTCGACCTCATCCACCTGATCATCCTCAAATCCATCCTCATCACCATTATCAATAATATATTCATCATTCATGTATTCCTCGTCCACACGAATCTCATTGCTTCTATCATGCACATCATTCCCATCAACATCCCCACTGTACTCTCCTTCTTCACCGTGCCAAATCCACACATGGTATTTTAGCCTAAACCCACGACAAATTACATGATCTCTAATGATTTCAACACTATTGACCACCTTCACATTATTACAATCAACACAAGGACAATAGAGGTAATTGACATCCATTCTGCGCTGATAAGATGAAATCCTCATGCAAAACTCTTGAACCCTATGAAAGAATCCCAATGTATCACGTCTACCATACATCCAATCACAATCCTTCTCCATTTAGTAAATTGTCTCTAAACATAGTAACATATTATGAATAATGTATAATTACTACATATATTATATATGTAAGTCAAATTCAACCACACACCATGCATATACCATTCATATAGTAAAAAAATGCATATGTGCTTCCAAAGGGTCCTTATCACTCCAACCTAACCCATCCTTGAACGTCTAATCTCACTAGTGAATGTATGTCGACTTTCCAATTTTAAGGAAAATCCGGCAGCATTTTCCCCCCAGTTCTCCAAGTACACGATGTAGATAATTACTTACCCACACATGTACCCAGAGAATAGGGTGAGGAAATGGTAAGCCAAGATGTTCCTTAAAATCCAAAAAAAAAGACATACATTCACCACCTAAGTGAGATTAAACGCTCAAGAACAGTCCCAACCGGGGACTATTCAAGACTTTCTCCTAATGAAAACGCCTTGAATGGGTATCTAGGCATATGATGATGCAAGCATTTTATATATTGTTGTATTTATTTGTCATTAAACAATACATAAGTTGTAATAGCATGAAAAAACTTTTATTAAATGGATATAGAGAAAGAAATATAGCTTAGTAAAGTTTATAATTCATACCAATATAATAAGTACAATGGATGTATTCTTTCTAACTTCCCACTTGAGCTAAATATGTAGTCTTCAAGCTAAACTTGTGCTTCAATTCAAATATGAATCTATAAAAAAACAAAAACAAAAAACAAAAGTTAGTAAGTATGAACTATCATTTGTCAATTGGAAACTATTACGGAACAGAGAAAACAACACAATTCAAGTTCTCAACACATCAGGAGTACAAAAGGTCCAATCAAATCCTTTTACACATATAATTATCTTTATGTTATCCAAAAATAACACGTAGTAATCCAAAAATTACTTTCCTCAAACTGCATGCAGCATTAAAAAGTTCATTCAGCTATAACTGAATAACGAACACACTTTCCGTTAACAGGCTAAAGCCAAAACTATGAGACTATACAGGAGGAAAAAATTCTCTGGTATCGCTGCTTATCTATGATTGATTAAATAGTGAGTACTAAAACATTCTTATTCCTTGGCTCCGTCATAGTTTAATAAATTTACCTTCTAAGCGGAAACAAAAAAGAGAACTACTGCAGTAGTGCAATGCTAAAGCAGAAAGATGACACCATATAAAATCTACACCATAAACTATTATAAAAAATATTCACTCATTCCTTGAAGAGCTTAAAACTAAGCTTATATCTTCAAAACAGGTTTCGAACACAGGCTTTTGGACCCTCCACATTCCTTTTACTCACATGATATACGAAACTAAATTGTACAGGATATCCAAAACATGGAATTCGATAATTTAAAAAGAACCCTAGATTACAAGAACCCAAAAATTACTAAACTGAATATCAAATCAACGACAAACCCTTGATTGCTAAATTAGAATTCGATATTTAAAAAGGGCAAGAAAAAAATCTAACCTTGAAGCTGCTTCAATGGAGGTGAGAAAGCTCAGAATTCGCTTAAATGGAGAATTAAGAGCACGCACTTCAATGGAGGAGAGATATGGAGAGAGAAGGAGGTGCAGTGAGAGAAAGCTCAGAAACCGCTTCAATGGAAAATTAAGAAACTTCGGAGGTGGTGGATTCAAGAGAAATGCGAAATTTTGGGAAGGAAAATAGAAATAATGAAAAGCAGAGGGAAAGAAAGAAGAAGAAGGGAGCCCGATTTTTTTTTTTTTTTTTAATTCGCACCGGTTTGAACCGGTGCTTATAACTTTATTTCGCACCGGTTTGGTTTGAACCGGTGCGAAAACTCTTTCCCTCTTTTTTTATTATTTTTTTTAATTTGCACCAGTTTGAATCGGTGCTAATAATATAATTTTGCACCGGTTTGGTTGGGTGCGAAAACTCTTTCCTTCAATCCCGCCTATTTTTTTTGGCACCGGTTCTGGTAAAAACCGGTGCCAAAAATACCCCAAAAAAATAAAAAAATAATTTTTTTTATTGGCATTTTTTTCACTTAAATTGATATATAAACATTAACATATATATAAAGTTACATTTTTTCTGTTAACTTTCAAAACAAAATAGGAAAACAGCAGCTTGAATTAAGAAATACTCCGATTCACAGCCATCTGTCAATGAGCTAGCAAACGTTCAATGAGCTGAGCTTGCTTTTCCCTCCTTACGGTTTCTCTCAACAATACTCTTGAAACTCTTTCTCACTTGCAGAAGGTACAAGGAGTATATTCATCATGTGTCAAAGAAGGCTAGTGGCAGTAGTGAGTAACCAAGCTGGACATTGCACCAAGGAACCAAGTTCAGCAGCTTTGTTGCGACTTGATTGTTAGAATGACTTCGATGATCAGGCCTGGTTATTATGTCAACTTTTAAGCTTGGTTCTTGCTGTGATGATCAGTTTCAGTAATCGGGAATTATACCCACCATGAAATGGGGCCTAAACCATCAAAGTTAAGTAATCCCTATGACAAAGGAATGCTCGAATTATACAGCCGTTTGTCAAACCAGAACAAAAGGGAAGATATATAGCAGAATATATAAAGCAAGTTATTAAAAAAATGAAAGACCTTAGTTTATTTAAGTGATTAATAATGAACTGAGCTGAATTTTTCTGATTAATAATGAACAAGCATCAATCTTTCAAGAACAGTGAGTTACCAATATCTAACAAGCATCAATCTTTCAATATAAATATGGGCAAACCCTTTTATCTACTAGGTAAATTAGCCAACAACAGTTACGAGGATTTCTTAGGAAAAAAATAACTCTGAGACATTGCGGATGGCATCATCAATACAACACATGAGTTACAAACTAGAAGATAAAAGTATCCCAAAAGCTAGAACACAATCCCAAATCTACTGTCCGAAAACAGGCACTATATAACAAAACAATCCTAAGTTAGATGCTTACCAATAAAAATAGTTGACCACAATTTGCTTTACAACACTCATCATCATAAGATGCAAGTTATTCCCATAATGATACCTTGGATCAATTCATAATTTAGTATGAAAAATAACAATATACGAAGTAATATAATCAAATTTAATCCAAATAAAAAGAGAAAATAATAAAAACTAAAAGTGATGAACATTACAGCTCCAATACAATGCTGATATACTAACTTCTGCACTTTAGAGTCCTGAGACAAACCTTTAGCCACCCTTTAACATATAACACCCAAAATTAAACAACATTCCACAACATCATCTCAAAGTTTGCTCATATATTGCACCTATACAACCAAAAAGCTTAGTGAAACAAGTGCCAAGTCTAAACAAAAATATATACAAGTATATATATACCGACATGAGAAACAGAAAATGAGGAACAATACTTAGCTAATTCAAGGATATCCTTCACAATTAATCCAAACTGATTACACTCCATATACTTCTTCTTCAGATGCATGCAAAGATTGATATATTATCAGACAAAACTTTGATCATATCCAGTTCAGCATCAAGGGCTATCTTGAGATAGTGCCTTGCTGTAAGTGCTTCCACAACATCCACACTGCCACTACCTCTCATAGTTGTGTAGGTAGCAGGCATCACTTCACCCATACAATCATGCATAACACCTCCCAAACCAATTCTGTCATCCCCGAAGCAACCAGCGTCTGTGTTCACCTTATAGCAGCCAACAGCAGGAAATACAGTCAGGGGGTAGACACAGCAGGGCAGCAAAAAAAAATCCTCATTAGCATAGACGTGAAAATTTATAAAACATTGTAATCTTGTATGATTATTATAGCATACATCTCTAGTATATATTATCTAGGAAGCTCAGAATATAAAACTAAAATTCTGAAAACTAATACAGATAAATAACATACAACGCAACTCTACATGTATCTATCTATTACCGACCACCTGGACATAGTTGAAAACTAACTGTTTTCCACCCTTAGTTAAATAATGCAATAAAGTTTTACCAAAATTATGTTTTAACATGAAAAGAACGAAAAGAGAAGAAAAAATCAATATAAGCAAAAAATTCATATATATATATATATATATATATATATATATATATATATATATATATATATATATATATATATATATATATATATATATATATATCGAGCATCTAAGAGCAATTTGCAATAAAGTAGAACACGAAGAGAAAGATAAAGAGAATAGATTAACCAATTCCAGAGTGCTGGTGCTATTTTAAAAATGAGGTAGTGAAGAAGGCAATGATCTTTCTCCAATCTGAAAGGGAGAGCTTAACAAATTGAAGAGAGAAATTGCAGGAAAACCCTAAATTAATTGGAAGCACATCAGCCAGCAGCACAATGAGTTATTTTTTAACATAATCGACTTGAGTTCGACTTCGCAAAATCATCAATACACCAAGTTGTAAATTAGATTTCTTTCTCAAATAATCGAAATTGACAGAGAAATGATACGTAGAAATAAAGAAAAGTTAATCCTGCAAACAAACAAGACTTAATCACTCAAATAAATATCAAACACATCTACAAAAATCAATTACGCTATAACAAATTAATGAAGTAACTTTTCCAACAAAACAACCCAATTGAGGAAATTACAACTAACACAAATAATTAGCGAAATTGATATTCATTGATTAAAAAACTTCATTGATTAAAAAACATTACCTCAGAAGTTGTTTCAATGGAGGAGAAAGCTCAGAACTGCTACAATATAACGCAAAGCTAAATAACCTAGAAACCCTAACCTCGAATTTCTGATTTTTGGTTCGAATTTGTTGTTGTCGAAGACACACGCACATGATTGATTCAAAATAGACGCACCCAGAAACCCTAACCTCCAATATTGTAGAAAGAGAGAAGGAGAAGGAGAAGGAGATCGAAAGAGAGGAGAAAGGAAAGGGAAAGTGGCGGTTATGGAGAAGGAGATCGAAGGACAGAGAAGGAGTGTTAGGAAAGTGCTGAGAGAAAGCTCAGAAGCCCCATCAATGGAGATATTCGAGTACGCTACAATGGAGGAGAGAGAGAGGCAGATCAGATGAGAAGAGGAAAGATCAAAGAAATGAAGAAGAAAACGCGCATAATAAACCGGGCTTTTTTAAAAAAAAAAATGGCACCGGTTCAAACTGGTGCTAATTACTATAGTTAGCACCGGTTTAAGGCAAACCGGTGCCAAATCTATTGCTTTCCTTGGTTTTTTTTTTATTTTTTTTAAAGGTTGGCACCAGTTTGAACCGGTGCTAATTAAATAAGTTAGCACCGGTTTTGGTTGGAATCGGTGCCAACTCCCTATTTTTCAATCCCGCCCATTTCTTTTGGCACCGGTTTTCAAGAATCGGTGCTAAAGGGGGGTGCCTATTTGATTTTTTCTACTAGTGGTTGTAGTAATTAGGTATGAATCCCTTCTTGTACAAATGCACTTTCATTATATCCGCTTCATGAAAACAAATGTTCCTGCATTTCAGACATGGGCATTGAACAAAATCCTTGCCTAGGTCGTTATCTGGATTTGCTTTTCAAAAGTCGATGAAATCATTAACTTCTCCCATGAATTCAAGCCTCAAACTACGCACTTCATTATATCTGTCATTGTAGGCGTCATTCGAAACGCGCCTACTTAAGCATGTTGTGAATATGCTTGGCACTTGTAGGAAGTGGGAATTGACATATACTATTAGAGACAACAATTAGGGACAAATAAAGTTAGGAGCCGCCAACAAGTTGAAAAGGAATTTGTAAACCGTTCACGGATCATTATAAGGCAACCACGATAAAGGGGACAACGATAGGCAACAACGATTGACCCGTGAAGGTTATACCCCAATCATAATTCATGAAATGACTAACTCCATATGGTTCGGAACCACGAAAGGAGGATTGGGGATGATAGTACGAAGTTAGTCATGGAGTCACATTCGCCTGTATTGGCTTCTACTCGATTCTTATTGTGAAAAGTAATACTTGAGATCTCAAAGGCACACAAACAAAGATTCAATTTGCTCCAAACTAATATTAAGCTAAATTGGTTGAATGTTAATGCAACATACAATTCTAATTATTGTGATTACTATGATTAACATCAAGATAAAAAAAGGATCCTAAACAGCCGTCCAAATTGTCTTATTAGGCGTTATATTCAATTACATATTCCCTTTAACATGTAATATGGTGATCAACAATAATAATTAAACAACAATAACATTGGAAGAAATTTAACCATAAATCTAACAATTCGATGTATGCCAAAAAAAAAAAAAAAAAAAAAAAACCAACGTTAGAAATATAACAGGAACAAAAGGAACATGATTCCTTACTTTAATTGCGTTTGCTTGCGGGTGTAAAATAATAAACACGTTAGTATCTTCAAGGAAATGATAATAAAATGGAAATTAAATCAAATGAAATTAAAGTTGATTTGGGGCCAAACCCTCAAACAATTCTACCTTTCACGCCTAAGTTTTAGTATAAAACTTCGGGTAAAGTACGGACTCCGGGGAGTGCTTAAGGGGATGAATTGTGAAAATATGGAAGGCAAGTATTTAGGCTAGAGCATAAAGAGAAAGATAGAATTATTTTTTGGTTCAATTAAGAGAATAGGTTTAAGGCTTAGAATGTGAGAGAGAGAAAATGAGAATTGTTGTTGTTACCCCAAAACTGTGAAATCAGACTCGTATTTATAGAGGAAATATGAGGGGTGAGGTCCAGAACCCGAGAAATGAGGCACTGCAGAGGAACACATTGTCGCGCCACGGCATAGTTGCCGTGGTACGGTATAAATTGTCGTGGTACTGTATAAATTGTCGTGGCATGGTAATTGAATTGTGGCTCAACAGTGAATTCTATCGTTTTTGAAGGTCAAAGCACGTTAAAAGATAAAACCGGGTCAAATAATTTGCCGTGTCACGGCAACTTCTGCCGTAGCCGGTATTTCTGCCATGACACGACATATGGATATTTTTGGAATTCCGTCTAAATTCAATTTTATCTTTTATTTTACATTTATTATGGGATAATTAGGTGCCGTTTCAGCTATTCCGGACCTATTTCAAGTTTAGGGTTTAATATTTATTAATCGGGCTTAATTAATAAACAAAATGGATTAAAAATGATTTGGGCTTAAATGTGGGTTGGACCATGTTTTGACTAAATACTTGGACTGATTCGTAGTGCTTGACTGAATATGGATTTTAAGCACTCTCAAGATTAAATACTCGTCCCGACCAAAAATGGCAGTGAAAGGTTGTTCATCATCGAGTTTGGTTTTAGGGAGAAATTTTTAGGTTTCTACAGAAGCCCCTACTTTGACTGAGTTTGTAGAAACGTAAGTTTCAAAAGCGATAGTAAAAGTAGTCAATTGGGACGGAGAATGATTTAAGATATTGTGCGATCCTAAATCACTCTGTATACACCAATACCTGCAGAAAAGCGTTAATTCCACATATAAAAGATTAAAGGGATAGAATGTGTATCTAACACCAATTCATCGGCAGCAAATACGTTTGGTAGCTTTCTGTGTCTCGAAAAATACACCGGATGATAGTCTTCCGCGCCTCGGGAATTCTATCGTGAACCACTACGCCTCGAGCAATCCACTAGATAAAGGTGACAACCTTCCGCACCTCAGGAAACATGGTACGGTACTCCTACCCTCGAGTAGCCCACTGAATGATGATCTTCCATGCCTCGAGAAGAGTAATGAATGATAGTCTTCCACGCCTCGGGAATTCTATCGTGAATCATTACGCCTCGAGCAACCCACTAGAAGAAAGGCGACAATTTTCCGCGCCTCGGGAAACATATCTTAGACTCATACGCCTTAAGCAGCCTACTAAATGATGATCTTCCACGCCTCGGGAAGACTGATATGAGATAGTATCCGCGCCTCGAGAATCCACCGTGATCTCCTACGCCTCGAGCAACTCACAAATTGCAAACCTCTACGCATCAAGAAGTATGCAACAGCTGACCATTTTCCGCACCTCGGGAAAACATGTCTGATGATAAAAAAAATTACAAGTCTCTGCGCCTCGAGAAACTTACAACGTGAATCGTCCATGCCTTGGGATGATCACTGAGTGTTTGATAAATGTCCGATTGTCCCCGGAGTGAGGTTGTAAATGATGATTTGTTCGATTGTCCCCAAAGAGAGGCTATAAATGATAATTTGTTTTATTGTCCCCAAACAGAGGTTGTACCTGAGACCTGCAAAATAAAATTTGCCAAAGGATTCGTGTAGACTAAGATTGACTCATGACTAAATTGACAGAGATAGAGTTGACACGGCATGACATGCGTTGACTTGTGATTGTGTGTGTATATGTATAGATTAAGTGTGTGCTCACAGACACAGACAATGAAAAAAAATTCCGTCATTTTTTGTCATGAGTAGAGGGTACCGACTCTCTCCCAAAAAAGAAAGACGTAAAAAATAAAGGTTTGAAAAAAGTTTTCGAACTCCCTCTAACAAAATTAATTTCAGAAAAGTTTTTGAACATTCCCAAAAGAAAAATTTTCGAAAAGTTTTTGGACTTCCTTAAAAGAAAGGTGATGAAAAAATGGGAAGAAGTTTTGAGCTTCCTCGTCGAGTATTATAAAGCGAAGCAAAGTGAATTGCATGGATTTTCTTCTTGTCGAATTGAATCGCTCGTCTTGAAAATAATTTATGCATGATGAATGTTCTTAGGCTAGGAGGCTAAGGATAATTACATCATGTGACCACGATCAATGAATGCACTTAGTCTAAGAGGCTTAGTTTATTGCCGATGTATGCTGCTTAGGTCAGGAAGCTAAGCATCATATATAGTGTATGAAAAACGAATCTTGATGAACGTTGCTTAGGTATGGAAGCTAAGCAAGTATGTAATGTATGCAACAATGAATCTTGGTGAACATTGCTTAGGTCAGGAAGCTAAGAAAATATACAATGATGAATGTTGAATGTTGTCTTACAAGATGATGAAGCATGCGCGTTGATGAAACAAGATTTCATGATAAGGGTT